GGGGTGATGGATAAGTAAACAACTATAATTCAGTGTCATGATTTCTTTCATCAGAATATTCACAGAGTACTCTTGGAACATGTTCTGGGAACCCAACCACATGGAGGAGTAAGAGGAGGCTTTTTAAGAGACGTAGTATATAGTAATCACCAGTATGAAGAAGGAAGGAAGAGTGTTTCATTCAGAGAATGAGAGCCCACACAGCCCATCTGTTAACCAGTAGGGCTAGAGTTTCAGGTGCATGGAGGGTAAGGTTGGGCCAGTGTATAACCCAAAAAACCCTTGCTGTTGAGTCAATTCCAACTCCTAGTGACCCTATAGGACAGAGTAGAGCTGCTCCATCGGTTTCCAAGACTCATCTTTACAGAAGCAGGCTACCACATCTTTCTCCCATGGAGTGGCTGGTGGGTTCGAACTGCCACCCTTTTGGTTAGCAGCCACGCACTTAACCACTGCACCACCAGGGCTCCTTGAGGCCAGCATATAGCTGAGGCAAAATCATGAAGGCCTTGTATTGCTAAGGAGTTTGGGTTTTTATCTTGTGGGTGCCGGGGCTTCACTGAAGAGTTTTATATAGGGGAGCGATGCGATTAGATTTGCATTTTATAAAAACCACTCTGGTAGCAAGTAAAAAGGTATGAGTCTGGAGCTGAATTAAGTAATCCAAGGTAGATGTGATGGGGGCTTTCCTTCCCCAAGGCCAGCGGCTTTGGTAATCTGGAGGAGGGCCCAGATTCCAGAGATGTTTATATATGAGAAAGCAGAAAATAGGAGAAAAGAAACTGGCTTTTACTTAATATCTACAAAACCCCAGTGCCCTAAAACATGCATTGTATACAGTGGATTAACTTCTCTCCTGTGCATCTAGAATGGTAGTAGCTATGTATCTTATTTTGGAGAATTGAGAAAATAGTCATTTAAATCACTTTCTATAAGCCTTAATTCTCTTGTGGAACTCTATTTGAGAAAGGCTGGATACTTCCACACCAGCTTTGCAGGGTAGATGGTATTAGCCTGTGCTTACAGAGAAGGAAGGGAAAGCTTGGAGATGCTAAGTGATTTGCCCAGGGCCACAGAGGTAGAATTGGACCCCAGACTACATATTTTACTCTGTCCCATATCTTTCAAACCTTGTTTCTTACAGTTCAGTTAAGTGTGTGTAAGCACTTAGCATAGTGCCTGACATATAGGGTATTAAGTCAGTGCCACTTTCTTTTCTCCACCTCTTTCTTCATACTACCATTGGGAACATGTTCAGTATTTTTCAGCTGAGAGGAAGTACCAGTGATTCAGTTAAAAGCTATTTCGAAATAGCTATCATGTATGTTTTCACTTGCTCCTAAAATCAGAATAAAAAGAAAAAAGCAAAAGTAAAACCAAAGAAAGTCCATCAAGGAGAGGAGGAGGAAGAAGAATCCAGTGGTGAAATAGAAGCAGCACCAGCCACGGGCCGAGTGCACCTGCGTAAAGGGAACACTCAGTGTCCCTCCTCCCCGGGTGTCAAGAGTTTGCCATTAGATGGAAGTGGAGCTGCAGGAAAAGATCGCGTCTCCTTACCCTTCGGTTCTGCCAGCTGGAAAAGAGTCAGCAGTAGTGAATCAGACTATTCTGATGCTGAAGGAGGCATGCAGAGTAAAATGAGGTAGTAGTTTTTTGTAATATTTTTATATTTTTTATTCTAAGTTACTTGTAAGTTTACAGCTTAACTTTAAAATCAGATTGCTACATGTGATTTCCTTGACAATTCAGATTCACTGATGTGGGGCTTTGCATTACTCTGAATATGCCTTACTCCCTTGATCTGCTTTTGTTCATGTTCCTCCGCCTGGAATATTCTTTTCTACACTTTTTTTGCCTTTCTGCCTTGTTAACCACTAGTAGTCTTCAGTGTGAGCTCAGTGATCATCTCTGAGAAGGCTTTTCTGACCTCCCCCTCCCCTCCCCCACAGACACAGCTTAGCATTGTTCATAATGTGTTACGGTTATCTGTTTAACTGTCCGTCTCTGCCATTAATCAGCTTGTCAGGGGCAGGGGCTTTATTTATGTCTGCCAGTTGAACACAATGCCTGG